CCTCCTCCACCCCGCAATACCCACAAGTTGACAGGAGGTGGCGACACTTTTCCATCAACGTCACTGCTGTTTTTTGCTGTCTGAACAGTTCCTCCCCGGCGAAGCAGCACAGAGGGAACAAACTGTAGTAACATTTTAAGAGTCAAGGAAAATAACTTCACACCTTTTTTACAGTCTCACCGCAGAAGCTGGTTTCATACCCTGCAGCTCTGAGAAGGGGAAAGGCGACAGAGTGAAGATTTAACTATGTGGCTTCGGCCGGATAACTGCTGCTCATGCGCACAACGAAGGTCTACATGTTTACTGGTGTTTTTTCTTTGTTTTTGTTTTTTTTCCTTCCTCTGAGTTGCATTTATTTCTTTTTTATGATTAATTAATTATTAATTAATTATTAATTATTAATTTACTTATTTATTTATGTTGAACCAAGCTTCTTTGATAGAGCGGAAAATTCAAATTAGCATTTTGTTTCCCTCCAAGTCTATTGTATTTCTTCTCTCAGCACTTTACTTTGCAGTAGCTCTTACAAAGAGGATCTAAAGCAGGGGTGTCCAAAGTCGGTCCTCGAGGGCCGGCATCCTGCATGTTTTAGTTCTCTCCCTGGTGGTAGCAACAACCTTTTCGGCTTCTCAATGTTCCTCTTAGGCCATCTAACGAGCCATCATTTGATGCAGGTGTGCTAAACCAGGGAGAGAACTAAAACATGCTGGATGCCGGCCCTGGAGGACCGACTTTGGACACCCCTGATCTAAAGTAAAAAAAAATAAAAAATAAGTAAAGAATTCTAACGAAATGGGTACTAAATCAAAGGTAGTAAAAAGTAGTAACCCTGACAGAAATAATTAAAGTGAGATGGGATGGGGTGGAAACAGAAAATAGAATTATTACATAATGTGCAGATTAGACTGTAGTAGTTTTATTTAATTTATTTTTAGTAATGCGTTTCATCCTTCCTAATATTTAATTGCTCATAGGTTATTGAGGGCATCGGCATATTTTAAGTAGCCTCAGCAGATTAAAAATTTAAGGCTTATTATTATTATTATTATTATTATTATTATTATTATTATTATTATTATTATT